TAAATCTGTGTTCAGGAACATTGCTTGTTTTAACATTTGTACAGAGCCACAGCTAGGAATATTTCCCTGTAATTTCTTACAGCTTTTCTCACTCTGCACTTGCCTAATTCTTTAAGATTCACCTTACCCCCAGTGAATTGCTAGAAAATAAACAGCACTGGTTCACAAATCAGTTTGACCTATTTAGGACCACATTACTTTGAATGTATCCAACCCCACATATGCTGGAATTAGATAATATGTTAAAAATTAAGCAGAAGTGACCCATGCTAAGATTAACTCCATCTACATCAACAATACAGAAAAAGCAATCAAATACTTCATTTGCCTTCATCAAGTTAGTCTCTCTTGCCACAACATTGATGTATCTCCATACTTAAAATATTTTTTTTTATGTCTAACATTTTCACTTGCAGTATTTAACAATTATTTTCCTGTTTTTTTAGAAGAGCTGAACTAAGTTTTATTTTTGAGTTCTCAAACCATCCTATACAAACTGAAAATTAGAACTCAAGAAACAACCTCCAGAAGAATGTGTTTGTGACGTGTAAACACAAAGGCATCCTATGCATCACCTAGAATCCTTTACATTTTGGGAACAATGGAGGGAACCAGGAAGTATACAACACTAAAAATATTCATAAAAAGCCAAGAACCAGTGTATCTATTGGAGCTTAGGTGCTGAAAGCTGGGGGTTTTTTTTGCTGAAATTCCAACCAGTTACACCATGTTGCGCTCGCTCTCTCTGCATTGTCGCTCCGATTTGCTTAGTTTGCTACCCTTACAAGCCTTAAGTTTCCAGCACATACAAGAAACACAAGCAAGATCCTGCAGCAAGACATTTGTTGCCTTTCCTTGAGAAGATGCCTAAAATATATACACTCTTAAGAAAAAAAGACAGCATATATTGGGAGACTGTACATGAGGATCTTTGTTACTGAAGGTGTTTAAGCAGAAAAAAATGTATTAGAAAAAAAAGTTGCTCTAAATCCTAATGTTTGCACCTACTCTGGGATAATAATGATTACCCTGAAGCAACTGACACTCCCAAGAGCTGACAAAATTTCTATCTGCTGTCCTACCTGACAACGCCACTGCATCAGAAATTCCCTGATATAAACAGCTTGTATTCCCTATACATAGAAAAACTATTTCCCAAGCAGAACAGGTGCTCTTACAGTCCTTCTATGCCTCACCAGCTCCTGCACCCAGAACAAAAGTAGTAAAGAAAATAAGAACAAACCATGATGAAGACTCAAAGCTGCTGATTAATAAGAGGTTGCAAAGAAGTGTCTGATTTTTACAGTGTACGGGAAATGCAGTGTTGAAGAAACTTTTCATGCAAGTTAAAATCTGAGCAACTTGAGGAAATCCAGTAGTACTAAATTTCATACTATTATTGTGCCTTTTGTATTTTGTGTTTTCCTTTGAAACCTGAAAGATAGATATGGCAAGTTCTAATTTATCTGATTAAAAAAAAAATTCTTTTCCTCATGACTGGAGAAGAATGTGAAAAAAAAATCTGATTTGATTAAAATATCCAAATCTAGCCAGAAAGAATATAAGCATATCCATTTGGTCCAATAATTATTTTGTTCAATTAAAAACTAATTTATTCTACCATCTTATTAACAAATGTTCCAACGATTTACTATACATTGAATTTGCAGAGCTAGTTAGTTATCACTAGAAAAAAGCCGAGACAAGCTATTCTAAAAGTCTATTTCAACTCAAGGAAATAAAGAAAAGTCTTCG